CTTTTTATTATATATATATATATATATATGGAGAGAGAGAGAGAGAGAGAGAGAGAGAGAGAGAGAGTAAGAGGGAGAGAGAGAGAGGGAGAAGGAAATAGATAGATGGATAGATATGTGATAGAAATTAGGAGGATTTGAGGTAATCATAAGTAATTCATCGAAATATGTGACCGAGCGGTGCTATATCGAGTCTAATTCGTTATCTCTTGGTAACCAAGGTCCGTTAGTACAATTAGTATGACGTTTGTCTAATAACGTAACGGTCCGATTTTAATTCTCGGTAGTGGATCTGCACTACTGATGAGTCTCAAATATAGAAAAACGGCCGTCCAGTGCTTTCTGTTGAGGTTTCTTCTAGACTTGATGAATTACTTAATTATGATATATATATATATATATATATATATATATATATATATATATTGAAGTGCTATCTGATGATCCGGCGTCCTTTAAAAGGGCTCTAGTGAAATAAATTATTATAATGGAACCTTAAACTGGTCTGTTTTTTCTTCATATATATATATATATGATTACATATTATATATTTTGTTGCTCTTTGGGTCGTCCTTAGGAAGCTGGGTGAAAGGATGCTCAGTGTAATCATGTCTTTCCATCAGAGGATGACGGCCTTAGTTAGATACAGTGAAGAAGCGTACGGTCCATTTATTGTCTCTAATGAAAAAAAAAAAAATTAAAAAACAAGGTTATCTCCTTGCACCTTATTTGCTTTTGAGAATATTAACGAAGGTGTGAGATTTGAGTTTAGGACAAATGGTGGGTTATTCAACCAACAACAGTTCAAGGCAAGAACTAAAACGATTGAGCAAACTGTTCGTGATCTGATCTTTGCGCACTTATAGCCCACACCTTTGAGGATATGAGATGGATCGTTAACACACTCGTGAATCTAAAGCTTTCGGCCTGACCCTCAGCATAAAAAACGGAACTTGTCATCAACTTATCTGTAACCATCCTCCAGCTGTTGCTACCACTGTTTATATTGAGGAAAAAAGCCTTGAAAACCGTTTCCTATTTCATCTATCTTGTATCCAACGTTGCTAAAATGGACACAGAAATCGAGTGCAGGAGTGGAAAGGCTTGATCTGCCATCGGTAATTTTTACCACAGGCTTTGAAATTCTTTTGCTGTTTCGTTGAATGTGAAATTCGATGTGAACAAGTCAGTTGTACTGACATAAACTACTCTATGGTGCAGAATCTCGAACTCTGTACCGGCGACACATCAATCAACTCGATGCCTTCTATATGCGTTGGCTAGGTTCCATCTGCAACAGAAAACTAAGGGATCACATTAGAAACAGGGAAGTTCTGAATAAATGAAACATGACAGGTATTGAAGAATCCAACTCAGGTGGACAGGTCATATCTTTCTCATATGAGCGATAGCAGATTTCTAAAACAACTCCTTTTTAGCCAGCTTCTAACAAGCAGGTGAGATGGAAGGCCACTCTTGCGTTTCAAAAATAAAATCAAAGCGATCCAGGTCGCCTTTTTCCTTACGTTAAAGCGAATGAGCTAAAATTCACTTTAATGCTTATATTGATAATTGTCATTAACTGTTATATGAAACTTGCTCAAATTTTACTTTCACAACAAATCTGAATTTATATTTTTTGAAAATCTGAAATGAATTGGAATCCTTAAATAAGTGCTAGCTATTACTTTATGAGTGTTCTGGATTCTTTGAAAAACGAAACAAAAAAGAATAATTTCAGTTCCAAATGTCAGCTACAGCTTATTCTTTTTTTTCCTATGCTCTATTTCTTGAATGGTAATTCCTGTTTGAATTTGTGACGAAGAATTATATGCTCTCGGCCAAATTCACCCTTCAAAAATGAATATTTCAATGACCAAACATCAGAATACCAATTTTTGCAAGAGTGGGGCAGGCCAAGAATTTTTCATTATCATGTCCTACTTCTCATCTATACAGATGTCTAAGGGAGGCCGACTTAAACATCGGGATCATCTGCGGGATCAAATATTAAAGCAAGCTGGCAGCATGCTGCTCCTCTCAAAGATAGCCTTACTTGCCACCGTAGCTTTATCGCACGCAGTAAAACAGTCCACTCGCAAACATGTGGCAATTGATTCTCAACTATATGAGCGAAATGTGTTAACCACATGTTCTATATGTCTGTTACGAGGAGGCATTTATATAATAAGAAAGTCTCAATAAGGTTAAAATTTATAGTAATGGATTCTACTGAGTCCTACCTGTTAATACAAAAAAGTTTTCTTTCATGAAGTAGATATAAAATAGAGAAATTTGAAATAGAACGTTTGGAAGATTCTAGATCATTCCAGTATATTCGAGAAGAATCTAGATGATTCGAGAAACATCTAGAAATATGCAAATTAGGTGTTAGCCCCTATAAAAATAGGTTTTTGGAAAAGGGTTGTCAATTGGTGAAAACAAATTGCTATCAGTGTCAACTCCGGTTTTTGAGTCGAGGATTATTATATCCAGCCGAAAGAATCTCTATAAAAAGTTGCCGACCAACAAAAACCCAAAAGAGAATTTCATGGAACAAATTTGGTAAATAGAATTTTGACTAATTTTCATTGACCAAACTAAAAATTAATATTTATTTATACACCTTTGTGGATTTCCAAATATAGCACTTAGATTACTTCACTAGCCCTAAAGATATTTGACTCCCTTTCCTTCTCCCTCGTAACACTTCGCCAGTAACTCTGTGTTTTCTGTTTTGTAGGCCACAATTGTTTATCTTGTATATATTTTATGTTGTGTTTTCGTAAATTAAATATTTGTTTGTGATTTAGCACAGTGTTGTGGTAAATCATTTTTTTTTTCCTTTGTTACAATTATCAACACGTAACAATGTCTAAAAGTTTGTAAAACACCTACAGACCTCGGGAGACACATGCGTGTCCATAAAAGTTGGGAACCACTTTACTTTACTGAGCCCTCATTTGTCGTTCGAAACGAGACAGTACACCATATATTACAATAATTTTCACTCTATAGAAGGCCCAAGAGGCACACGAAGTAGAGAATTACAGAATAATAAAAGGTCCCTTACACAGTTTATGAGAAAGATAACGGTTAACCCTAGACTTGAATAGGTTAAGATTGTAGTGACCGGAGAAGCATCCACTTGGGAGTCAGTTCCACAAAGCAGCTGTCCGTTAGAAGAAGTTATTCAAGTGGAACTTAAATCTCACCAATGAAATACGAGGAGAATGAGGGTGATTTGCCACAATGTAAGTGGTATGGTGGGTTTTACATGGGAAGGTTAGAACTGATGTGATATTATTTGTTGTTACCGCGGTAAAATAAAACCTAAGATAGTTTTCTTATCAATAGAAAGTGTTATGTGCTGAGAGACATTGAAACGAGAAGGGTTAATACCAAAAACCCATGGGAAGAATTGAGGATTTAATTCACTCATAAACGGCTAGAAATGGATGTCGAGCAGTTTGAACAATGAAAAGGTGACCCGGACTTAAGGGGCGATGTTGATTGACACACAGCTGCAAATGCAAACTGTAAAGCGAAAATTTCATTTTTCGTAAACAACGAATTTAGAATTGATTGCCTGGTCGAAAGTTAAGTTGAAATGCCAAGAGGGGGTGGATAAGCCACCCACGCTCACTGAGGAGATTTAGTGAGAGGTAATAATATAAGAGAGTGGAAGAAGGAAATTCCCCAGAATTATCGAATTCTCTTACTTCGCCAGTTTGGGTGAATGTCGATAAATACGAATGCGCAAAGCGAATTCGGCAGACGAGTCGCAGAAGAGAGAAGAGAGGCAGAAGTGATGGAGACGAGACTAGAGACAGGAGAGAGGCCCACGTGATTATCTGCCGACGAATGCCTCCGACTTCAGCCTTGTGCCAAAATTTTCCAAAGCAGCAAACCAAATTTTACCAGGACAACAATAATATCACTTCCGATTTAGAAGGGTGTTGGGCTGATAATTAATTGCATGCGAACTCTGATATAAACCAATTATTGTACGAAGGACTGATATAAAAACAGTTTTTACTTTTTGTTCAGTTTAATCGAGTGTCATTTTTCCTGTACGTCTTCGGCCTGCTTGGACCAACCCGACACGAAGATACTTGCGATGATTCGATCTTGGCCTCCTTATGATCAAACTTAAATCACAACGTGGGATAGGGCAGGTCTGATACCCTCTGTTCATATATGATAGCAGTACTTCATTTTCGGCCTGATATATTTGGTTGGATATGTTAGCTCTATCTCTGATATTGAGCGCTTTCTAATAAGTACCGCGCATATAATATATAAATAATTATATATATATATATATATATATATATATATAACCAATCAATTGATTTTTTACGCTAAATTAAGCTAATTTGTGGGTACACACGTTTGTTGTAGAGGCCCTTGTAGTTTCTTCTACAAAGTGGGGCACATTTTCTTTATTAAATCTCTCTCTATATATATATATATATATATATATATATATATATATATATATATATATATATATACCTCCTCTTTCCCCTCCCCCTCCCTCTTATTCTAGCTTCAAATTGTCTATAGTGTATGTATGTCACCACGAAATGTATCTTTATGCATTCTTCTCTTAATTAAAACCCTTCCCCTACATCTCCTAAAATTCTCTCTGTTAAGGTTCAATCTCCCTCCTCCTCATATTTACACTTTCTCTAAATTCTGTTTCCACTTCCGGAGTGTTTTTTTTCTGTTTTCATTCTGAATTTGTAGGTCTGATGAATTGGATCGTATTTACGATTCCAATTGAATAAATTATGACCATGGAATATTAGTGTTTAAGCCTTTTTTTTATTTTATTATATATATATATATATATATATATATATATATATATATATATATATATATATATATATATATATATATATATATATATATATATATATATATATATATATATATATATATATATATATATATATATATATATATATATATATATATATATAGTGCTAGGCTTACGACCATATCACATTGAAACATCGGTTCTCGTATAAGTACCGAAGATAAGCAACGCCGAGCCTGGCCAGTACCTGGATGGGTGACCACTTAGGAATATCAGGTACTGTAAGCTTGTATGTACGGGTGGTGCAATGGTTAACAGCTCCGAATTGGAAATCGAAGATCCTAGTTCTAATTCCAATCATGTCCGTTATATTTACTTACATGAAAATACCTTTGGGAATGGTATGAATCCACCTCTCCCCCCCACCAGCTATGAGTTAATTAGTAATTACTTGTACCGGTAAATCATTATCTCCAAAAACATTACAACCTAAAATATTTCCTAACTTTAAATAACCTGCAAAAGGTTGATAAGCCGTAAAAATAGCTAATTAGTTGGTCTGAACAGATAACCTTGCCTTGTGCCATATTGTACTAAGCTTATTAAATATTTATATACAGTTCTACTGTGAACGCCCCGCCGTGGTTAACAAACCAGTCATGCAGCCATTACTTTTGTGTAATGATATCCGTGCTGAATTTCGACGTAGGTACAACATCTCATGAGTACATAACAATTCAGCGAATTAAACGCAACACAACGCATTAGCCTTCTTTAACCCTTCGAGCCCGCTTTACCGGTGGTTGAAAAAAATGACTTAATGCTTAGCTACCGGTTAAATGGTGGGTAAGCACTTGTAACTCTTTTTATATCTACGTGAAACATTACATACCAATTATTTGAGAAATTTTCTCAGGAGCTGAGGTAGAAGGCTTAAAATTGTTCAGGAGCTCAGGGTTTAAAAGGTTAAAGAATAATATATTTATCTATAATTTCATCATATATAATTTTACCGAAGTATATTAGATGAACAACGTTCTTACTTTCTTTTTTAATATTGAATTGCCGAAAGGCCTGACCCTAGATTAAGTACCAGCTTATGAATATCCGTAAAAATGGAAATAACTTTTTATTTCAGTTAATTACCGTTTAAAATACAAAACTGTACAATTACTAAAATGTTTTGTTTCGTTTATTCGAGCTTGATGACTTTGCCATTGTGGTTTAATTTATTTTGATGCATTTGTAATTCTTTCATTTTATTTTGTGTCATTTGGAAAAGTTTGATTTATTTTGTTTCTCTTCTAATATTTTGATTTTATTTCTTAAATATTTGTGAAAATTTGAAACATTTATATGTAACAATTTATATAACAATTGTAGCAAGCGTGATATTTACGTAAGGTTGATTGGAATGTACTATCACATATTTTCTGACTGAATAAGAAATCGTTCAAATGTAACAAAACTTTGTCTGTCAAGAACATAATCATTATTAACAATGAGAAAAGTTTAGTGTGAAACAAGATTTTTTTACGCTGAGTCGTTTTCTTTTACATTTTAAAAGAATTTGTTATTAAGAAAGAGTTTCAGTAGTATCATTGAATGGAAAGCCGTAGTTGATTGATATAATGCTCCAGCGTCTAATGAATGTAGATCGGTTAAACCGCCAAGAGTATGTACTTCGATTTTAAAGTCCCTAAAATATCTTATAATATACATTCAGTGTAGTACAGAACCGTACACTTAAGAAAGAAGGCAAATCTCATGGCTTTACCGTTTGATTATGTAGAGTTAGTGGCCATGGTTAAATGTAAATAAACGGTAGAATTGTCCAACAAACAGAATTGACATTGTTCCTAATAATCAATAGCAAAAGAAAAAAAGAACAGGGCAAAAAAATAACACAAAGCAAGCAAACAATATCTGTAAGGCAAATTATCAGTAATAAGGCAGAACAACGGTAGTATGGCGAAGATTTCACAAACTAAGTAATGGGATTGATACACAAGAGCAAATTCGGCTAAACGAACGTAACATCCTGACTTCAAGACCTAAAAGTTTTCATCGTCTCAGCGCAACTTTCTCAATAACTTTAGCTCTTTCGTGAAGATAATGAAATATTTAACCTGTGCCATAGAATAAATTCCATTTATTTGTCCAGGTAGGGATGAAAGGAACAGTGAAGCTATAGTAATTACTAGATTTTGTCTGATTATGCTGGTAAAACCACGATTAATTCCAATTCAAATCTCCTACTTACTCTGTGCCAATTATTTAAATTCTCAAACTTCTGTAGGGCATGACTGACACTACATCAACTTCCTAACTCTATTTTCACCAGTCTGCCCTTGAAATGTAAATTAAGCATATTAAATATTAATAAGATTCCTTAGTGACTTTAAACTTGCACAAGGTCATGTTAATGAGATACAAAGTGAAAGTAGTAGTCACAACAACTAGGGAACAAAACTAAGAAACATTCTCGATAAACATCGCATCAAAAGAAAACAGGTAGGCAGAATTTTTTTTTTTACCTATTAAGTTTTGTTTTGCCTGGCACAAGGCCACATGTTGCTAATAGTACTTGATATTCCTAAGTGCTATCTATATTCGACAGTGCTTAACTTCAGTTATCATATGACAACCAATACTCTTAGTATGACTTTATCGTAAGCAAATATATTTACTAAACTTAGCTTATGACAGTACAAAGCAATCAATGAAGATCTAAATCACTACAAGTAATAAGAGTCTTCAAGACTATCTTACTAACCATAATTTCACGGCTACTTTACTTCCTTTATTGTGCTTTATATAGCACAATAAAAGATCACAGTATTAGGAAACTTAGGATTGAAAACATTACACTCGCAAAATTGTCTGCAGTTTGCTAACCACAGTGATAAGATGAACGTCAAAAGATTAAATCTGTCTTGCACGAAGTAATAGGAATGCAGCAGTCTATAAGGACTGAAACTATTACACAACAATTGATGAGGCAAACTTGTTAAAGATTTTGCTACAGCAGGTGTACTATAGATAAGAAAGAGAGTAATAAAAAGATTTAAGGAAAGTGAGCAAATTGAAAAAAAAAATTTCTAGAGCTGATAATTTGGTAAATTATTCCTTAAAGGAATTTTTATATAGGTGTTTTATATAGGTACGTCCACAGTTTAACTAAAAATTGAGCCTACCATGATGGAAATAAAAAAATGATGAAAATGTTTAATAAAAACAAAAAAATTATCCTCAAAATCTTTAGGTAATTATTAAGAAGTAAGACCAAAGGATTTTATTGTTAAATTATATTTTTGAACGTTTGAAATTTTGGTTAAAAATTTTGTTTTTCTTGCATCAGCGGGAGGACTTAGTATAGAAAATTTTAGCGACTTTTTTGCGGTGGAAATTACAAAACATTATTCGAAAATAAGATCGATAACTACAGTAAATTTAAAGCGAAAGTACCCAAAATTCAATAAGACATTAAATTACGGAGAATATTTTTCTATTTTTTTAAGATTACTGGGCAGTTAAAAAAATTATATAAAAAAGTGCTCACGTAATTTTTTACTGATATATCCACCGCAGAAAAATTAGATAAATTACTATCTGTCCATCTTAAATAAACACCCACTTCTGTGTTATAAAAATGCATTTCTGCGATATTTTTAAACTAAATGTAAGTAATATTCATTTAAAATCAGATTAATTAAACTTTAAATCAGCTAATATTCCTGAAATAAAGTTTCACAAAAGCATATTTTATTTTTAAATATTTTTTTAATAAAGAGAATTACATTGTGATCACAGATGGTTAAAAATGGCCCTAAAATCAGCGATTTTAGTGATTTCAAAACAAAATCTACTTCTAGTTTGAATTAGTTTTGAAATACAGCAAAAGTATTTGCTTATTGGAAATGTTAAATTTAATCTATTAGCTTGAAATTAAAACTAAAATAAAAGCTTCAGAAAAGATATCTCATTTAAAATAATTTATTTTAACCCTGAGGTATCATGTTTCTGTGTAGGTAGCTTGTTTATATATATATATATATATATATATATATATATATATATGTGTGTGTGTGTGTGTGTGTGTGTGTGTGTGTGTGTGTGTAATGAAAATATAGTTTTAAGATATGCTATATTTATGTGTTAAAATGCTCGATATCAGGGATAGAGCGTATGTAAATATAAACGTGGACATTGAAGCCACCAGCCAGCAGTGATAATCTGTTCCATGCTTAGATGCAATCGTCAGGCCATGTGAGTTTTGTTTTGACTCGACTATTTATATACGCTGGTCACTGATGCCTTATTGGTAGGTTTATTGTATTATTCTAACGTTTATCGGGTGGTAGGTAATGGTTATGTTTCAAATTATTCTAGGGGCTCAGTGGAAATAATTGTGGATCCGAATGCAGTTTTGGTATCTATTTTATAGCGTTGTTTGTTAACTTTATTATTGATTGCATCACTGACCAGCATATATAAATTGTCAAGAGCAAACATAACATTGATTGTGTTTAACCATGAAACAGACTGTCACCACTATATATATATATATATATATATATATATATATATGTGTGTGTGTGTGTGTGTGTGTTTAGGCAGCAATCCTTCTTTCATGCACGTTTCATTGAATACGACAGACAAGGTGCTTTGATTTAGTTTTTTATATAATTTCTCATGTGATCTAATAATTTTTTCTTTTCGGATGATAAATTATATAAAAACTGGCGAATTGTTCTTTTTATACGAGCGCTTTCAGCTATACATTTAGCCATTTTCAAGGTTGAAATATATTAACTGTTAACAAGAAATAGATTGCTGTATATCTATATTTTTGTGATATTTTCATTTTCAAAACATGGTCAAGATATTGTATCGATGTTCATAGTTGATATTGAGTGTTGTTTTTTATTAATAAGGCTTCCATTATTTTTAGCCTTTTTTTTGCATGTAGATGATGCTATTAGATTTGTGTTGTCAACAAGTATGTTACGTATAGTGTCCGGTAGGTCTCCATGAGTATTTAAATGAGACCTAATTGAGCTATGGTCAGGAAGGTGTAGTGTAAGCCTTTGTGTCAAACATATAGTATGGTCTATATAATTATTTATGAATTTTGATTGATCAGGAATACTATTCCTTAATCGACATTTAAATTCGTAAATAATATTTATCCTATAAATATTATATTATCCTATAAATATTTATAATGTCTATATACAAGGCTATAGTTATGGTGCATCAGTAATGCTTTGTTAGATTTAATCG